CTGAGAAGTCCCGTCGCCTTCTGGGAAGGCCTCCTCCTTTTCACTTCCCCCCGTCGCTCGCCGCCGAAAGACAAGACAAGACAAGACAAGACATGGCATGACATGGCAAGACAAGACCAGGCAAGACTAGACAAGACCAGACCAGACCAGACCAGGCCAGACCGGACAAGATAAGACAAGACACTCCAGAGAAAGACCACCATCTAAGGTGCTGCGGGTGCGGCGCAAGGGCGCCAGGATTCTGAACCGTTCGCACAAACCCCTGACGCTTCGTGCAACGTAACACTCTGGTCCCATCTGATACTCCGCTGATGCAATATTCTCGAGAAGACCCAGGCAATGGCCGCCCACCCGCCCCACACACACACACACACACACACACACACACACACACACACACACACACACACACACACGCGCGCGCGCGCGCACGCGCGCACACACGCACACACACACACACACAACAAATTACTCCGACGGAAGAACCCCACATAAGAATCCTCTGGGCGAATCTGGAAAAAACCATCACCGTCGTCCTCGTGGTTGGTGGGGCGTCCTGGCTGTCTCTTCTGCGTATAGTTCCTCTCGCCTTGACGCGGGAACCCCCTTCCACTCCTTACGTTGTCCCCATCCTCGCCCCCCTGTTTGTTCCGCGCCCCGCCACCTCCTCCCCTTCCTGTTGCACGAGCGCGCATGTCGATGTTCCTCGGCGCCGTCGCCGCCACGGCCAGCACAGGCGCGTTCTCTACTGGTCACGTCGCGCAGCCGTTGGGACAACCCCGCGGGCCAGGCTGTCGGGACAACCCCGCGAGCCGTTGGCGCGCAAGACCAAGCCGTTGGGACAACCCCGCGGGCTTCGAGCGAGGCGCAGCCGCGCTCAGGCGGAAGGCAGCACGAAGCCCAGCTCTGCCGCGAGCTGCTTCGCCTCCGCCCTGGACAAAACCGCTCTCTTGTCGAACTCCAGAGCGCCTTCCGCAGGGACGCCGGCGGCCCGCACTCCAGGAACTCTCGCGGCGGCGGCCGCAGGATCAGCATGTTCCGCATGCACGTGGCGCGGGAGAACATGACGTAGAGGTGCAGCCACCACTGCTCGTCCGACATGCCCGTGCGGCCAGCGTCCTCGTCTCTCGCGCAGTCGATGGTGACGCCCTTGCGCAGCGTCTGGCCCTGCGACAGCGTGGAGGTCAGGTAGGACGCGTGCGTCAGGGTGAACCCCGAGCGGCGCACGCTGTGCGCCCCCGAGCTCTGCCATGTGAATTCCCTTTCGCTGGGCCTGAACATCAGCAAGCTCCGCGCCCGCGCCTCGATCTCCCGCCTGAGACTTCCTCGCAGTTCACTCACAGACGAGGCTCCCGCCTGAGACTTCCTCCAAATTCAGGCTTGAGGAGCCCAAAAGTGACGACAGGTTACAGGGTTCCGATGACCCGCTCGGATTACCAACATGATCTGCGGGCCCCATAGGGAGGGAGCTCCCGCCTGAGACTTCCTCACAATTCACTCAGAGACGAGGCTCCCGCCTGAGACTTCCTCCAAATTCAGGCTTGACGAGCCCAAAAGTGACGACAGTTACAAGGTTCCGATGACCCGCTCGGATTACCAACATGATCTGCGGGCCCCATAGGGAGGGGGCTCCCGCCTGAGACTTCCTCAGAATTCACTCACAGACGAGGCTCCCGCCTGAGACTTCCTCCAAATTCAGGCTTGAGGAGCCCAAAAGTGACGACAGTTACAGGGTTCCGATGACCCGCTCGGATTACCAACATGATCTGCGGGCCCCATAGGGAGGGGCTCCCGCCTGAGCCTTCCTCAGAATTCACTCACAGACGAGGCTCCCGCCTGAGACTTCCTCCAAATTCAGGCTTGAGGAGCCCAAAAGTGACGACAGTTACAGGGTTCCGATGACCCGCTCGGATTACCAACATGATCTGCGGGCCCCATAGGGAGGGAGCTCCCGCCTGAGACTTCCTCCCAATTCACTCACAGACGAGGCTCCCGCCTGAGACTTCCTCCATTTTCAGGCCTGGGGAGCTCAAAAGTGACGACAGTTACAGGATTCCGATGACCCGCTCGGATTACCAACATGATCTGCGGGCCCCATAGGGAGGGGGCTCCCGCCTGAGACTTCCTCACAATTTACTCAACGATGATGAGGATGAGGATGATGAGTGGTGGTGAAGATGAGTGGTGAAGAGGATGATGATTGATCGTGAGTGGTGGTGGCGATGATGATGTTTGAATGAGGATGATGCCGATGCCGATGATGAAGATGATGATGATGTTCGTGAGCGTGTGAGAGAGTGCGAGTGATGATGATGATGAGTATGTGAGTGACTAAGCATGTGAGAGAGCATCATCGATGATGCTGATGAGGTTGATGATGAGAGAATGTGAGTAAGTGTGAGTGTGTGTGTGTGTGTTCCTGTTCCTGCGCGGGGTGTCCAGAGAAAACAATTACTCCGACGGAAGAACCCCACATAAGAATCCTCTGGGCGAATCTGGAAAAAGCCATCACCGTCGTCCTCGTGGTTGGCGAGGCGTCCTGGCTGTCTCTTCTGCGTATATTTCCTCTCGCCTTGGCGCGGGCCCCCCTTCCACTCCTTACGTTGTCCCCATCCTCGCCCCCCTGTTTGTTCCGCGCCCCGCCACCTCCTCCCCTTCCTGTCGCATGAGCGCGCATGTCGATGTTCCTCGGCGCCGTCGCCGCCACGGCCAGCACAGGCGCGTTCTCTACAGGTCACGTCGCGCAGCCGTTGGGACAACCCCGCGGGCCAGGCTGTCGGGACAACCCCGCGAGCCGTTGGCGCGCAAGACCAAGCCGTTGGGACAACCCCGCGGGCTTCGAGCGAGGCGCAGCCGCGCTCAGGCGGAAGGCAGCACGAAGCCCAGCTCTGCCGCGAGCTGCTTCGCCTCCGCCCTGGACAAAACCGCTCTCTTGTCGAACTCCAGGAGCGCCTTCCGCAGGGACGCCGGCGGCCCGCACTCCAGGAACTCTCGCGGCGGCGGCCGCAGGATCAGCATGTTCCGCATGCACGTGGCGCGGGAGAACATGACGTAGAGGTGCAGCCACCACTGCTCGTCCGACATGCCCGTGCGGCCAGCGTCCTCGTCTCTCGCGCAGTCGATGGTGACGCCCTTGCGCAGCGTCTGGCCCTGCGACAGCGTGGAGGTCAGGTAGGACGCGTGCGTCAGGGTGAACCCCGAGCGGCGCACGCTGTGCGCCCCCGAGCTCTGCCATGTGAACTCCCTTTCGCTGGGCCTGAACATCAGCAAGCTCCGCGCCCGCGCCTCGGCCTGGCCGTCGTCGTCGGCGCCTTCGGCGCCCTGTCGCAGCACCTCGGCGACCTGAGGAGCCCAAAAACTTCCTTGTTGCATCCAAAGTGTGGCCTGGGAACTGCGTTCTGGCAGCGCGAGAACCCAACATTGACGACAGTTACAGGTTTTGGATGACCTGCTCGGATTACCAACATGATCTGCGGGCCCCATAGGGAGGGGGCTCCCGCCTGAGACTTCCTCGCAGTTCACTCACAGACGAGGCTCCCGCCTGAGACTTCCTCCATATTCAGGCTTGAGGAGCCCAAAAGTGACGACAGTTACAGGGTTCCGATGACCCGCTCGGATTACCAACATGATCTGCGGGCCCCATAGGGAGGGGGCTCCCGCCTGAGACTTCTTCACAATTCACTCAAAGACGAGGCTCCCGCCAGTGACTTCCTCCAAATTCAGGCTTGACGAGCCCAAAAGTGACGACAGTTACAGGGTTCCGATGACCCGCTCGGATTACCAACATGATCTGCGGGCCCCATAGGGAGGGGGCTCCCGCCTGAGACTTCCTCGCAGTTCACTCACAGACGAGGCTCCCGCCTGAGACTTCCTCCACATTCAGGCTTGAGGAGCCCAAAAGTGACGACAGTTACAGGGTTCCGATGACCCGCTCGGATTACCAACATGATCTTCGGATTACCAACATGATCTGCGGGCCCCATAGGGAGGGGGCTCCCGCCTGAGACTTCTTCACAATTCACTCAAAGACGAGGCTCCCGCCAGAGACTTCCTCCAAATTCAGGCTTGACGAGCCCAAAAGTGACGACAGTTACAGGGTTCCGATGGCTCCCGCCTGAGACTTATTCACAATTCACTCAAAGACGAGGCTCCCGCCAGAGACTTCCTCCAAATTCAGGCTTGACGAGCCCCAAAGTGACGACAGTTACAGGGTTCCGATGACCCGTTCGGATTACCAACATGATCTGCGGGCCCCATAGGGAGGGGGCTCCCGCTTGAGCCTTCCTCAGAATTCACTCACAGACGAGGCTCCCGCCTGAGACTTCCTCCATATTCAGGCTTGAGGAGCCCAAAAGTGACGACAGTTACAGGGTTCCGATGACCCGCTCGGATTACCAACATAATCTGCGGGCCCCATAGGGAGGGAGCTCCCGCCTGAGACTTCCTCCCAATTCACTCACAGACGAGGCTCCCGCCTGAGACTTCCTCCATTTTCAGGCCTGGGGAGCCCAAAAGTGACGACAGTTACAGGGTTCCGATGACCCGCTCGGATTACCAACATGATCTGCGGGCCCCATAGGGAGGGGGCTCCCGCCTGAGACTTCCTCACACTTTACTCAACGATGATGAGGATGAGGATGATGAGTGGTGGTGAAGATGAGTGGTGAAGAGGATGATGATTGATTGTGGGTGGTGGTGGCGATGATGATGTTTGAATGAGGATGATGCCGATACCGATGATGACGATGATGTTCGTGAGCGTGTGAGAGAGTGCGAGTGATGATGATGTGTGTGTGAATGAGTGCGAGGAGAAGAGGGGGTGAGTGAGATCTCTCTCCTGCGCGGGGGTGTGCAGAGAAAACAAGAACCCCACTTTGGATGTGGGGAAGAACCCCACTTTGGATGTGGGGAAAAAGCATACAACAACAAAAGCTGCCAGCGAAGGCGAAGGTCGAAGGGAAGGAACACACCAGCACACGAAGGCGCCGACGCCCCGGCGCCTTCTTCTCGGCGGAGATCTTGGCCAAGGAACCCTTGATGTCGCCGATGGACGCCGCGTCGGACTCCATGGCGGAGAACTCCTCGCGCGGGCGGTGGCTCGAATGGAGGGAAGAGGAAAGGAAAGAGGAGGGATGTGGGAGGAGGGATGTGGGAGGAGGCCGAGGAGGATAAGGAGGACGACGGAGGAGGAGGAGAGGGAGGGCATGGAGAAGAGTAGGAGGTGGAGCTGACGAAAAGGACGAGGGGGGATGGAGCAGCGGGAGGCGGGGCGCGGGGACCTTCGGAGAACCCCCCCCCTCCCCCTCCCCCTCCCTCCCAACCTAAGGTCCCCCTACCCCCTCCCCTCCCCCCCTCCCCCCCCCCTCCTCCCCCCCTCCCTCCCTCCAACCGAGCACGCCATGCGACAAGCCGTCGTCGAGCAAGAGAACCCCTCCTTCCCCCCTCCCTCCCTCCCCCCACCTTCCCCTCCCCCTCCCTCCCCCCTCCACTCCTTCCCCCCTCCCTCCCTCCCTCCCCCCTTCCCCTCCCCTCCTTCCCCCCCTCCCCTCCTCCTCTTCCCCCCTCCCCCCTCCCTCCCCACCCAAGGTCCGACGTTGCGAAAACGATACAACATCCCGAAGACTCACGACCAGAGCCCACCACGCCGTCCTCCTGCGGCACCTTCCGAGGCAGCTCGATCTGTGAGGAGCCCCAAAAATCCGGCGAAAGCACGCCCGGCGCGAACCACTGGCCACGCCCGGATCTACTCCTAGAGAGAACTACAACAACAACAACAACAACAACAACAACAACAACAACAACAACAACAACAACAACAACACCAACAACTACAACAACAACAACAACAGCAGCAGCAGCAGCAGCAACAGCAACAGCAACAGCAACAGCAACAACAACAACAATCAGTTTAAGACTGTTCGCCCTTATCTGCTCGAGTGCCCAATATCGCGTATTTCCCAAACCCTCGATACCCGCCCTCTCCGTCTTCGATCGAACCCCTTTTGGGGGGTTTACCTTTCTTCCCTGCAGGCCGGGCGCCGGCGAGCGGCGGGGCGGCCGCGGACCGTCAGCCTGGCCAGCGGCAGCGCTGATCGGCGGGGCGGCCGCGGACCGTCGACCCGACCCCCAGAGGGACGGACAGGGGACCGACGACGACGAGGACGACGACGACGACGTCGACGACGACGGCGGCGACGACGACGACGACGACGACGACGACGACGACGACGACGGCGACGACGACGACGAGCGAAAGCAAGAGAGAACGACAGCAGGGCCACGAAGGACACGAAGTAGGCCACGAAGGGCGACAGCGGGGACACGATTGGAATGCGTATGGGGCCACAAAGAGCGCGAACGAGCGGGGGCCACGAAAGGCAGATAATGAGGGGCCACAGAAGGCAACGATGGAGCCACTGAAGGTAGCAACTGGGCCACGTAGGACAGTGAGGGGGCCACACACGGCGACAGCGGGGCCACGAAGGGCATGCACACAGGGCCAAAACCGGCGCCAACGAGCGGGGGCCACGAAGGGCATACGTATATTGGGCCGCGGAGGGCAAGAACGGGGCCACTGAGGGCAGCAACGGGGCCACGAAGGGCAGCGAGGGGGCCACGAAGGGCGACAGCGGGGCCACGAAGGGCATGCATATGGGGCAACCACGGGCGCGAACAAGCGGGGGCCACGAAGGGCATACATATATGGGACCACGAAGGGCAGCGAGGGGGCCACGATGAGCTGCAACGGGGCCACGAAGGGCAGCGAGGGGGCCACGAAGGGCTGCAACGGGGCCACGAAGGGCTGCAACGGGGCCACGAAGGGCAGCGAGGGGGCCACGAAGGGCTGCAACGGGGCCACGAAACAAAGCGAGGGGGCCACGAAGGGCTGCAACGGGGCCACGAAGGGCAGCGAGGAGGCCACAAGGGGCTGCAACGGGGCCACGAAGGGCAGCGAGGGGGCCACGAAGGGCTGCAACGGGGCCACGAAACTAAGCGAGGGGGCCACGAAGGGCTGTAACGGGGCCACGAAGGGCAGCGAGATCCCGATTCCTAGGTAATCTGTGAGGGAATCCTAAGCGTGAGCGCGACTCCTGGGTGCCTGGGTGTCGGGAGCACGGCGCTTGAGTAAATTGCAAGAAAGTCCAACGCAAGGGCGCTACTCTATAGTAAATTGCAAGCAACTCTCCAGCGAGAGCGCGACTCCAGAGCGCCGGGAGAGCGATTCCTGAATAAATTGTAAGGATGTCCCAAGCGAGAGCGCGATTCCTGAATGAAATGCGAGGAAGTCTCGGGCGGGAGCAGAGGTCCTGGCTAAATTGTGAGGAAGTCTCAGGCGGGAGCCGCTGTTGTTGTAAACCGGGAGCCAACGACACAGTTTGACCCTCAAGACTTTCCCTGATAAAAAACAAGGCGCGAGCCCCGGGAAGGGCACTTCAATCGGAAAAAAAAAAATGTGCACCGGACGGAGGGGATCAACAATAATTATTCTTCAGAAATGAGAGTCAACAACAACAACAACAACAACAACAGCAACAACAGCAACAACAACAACAACCACAACAACAACAACAACAACAACAACAACAACAACAACAACAACAACAACAACAACAACAACAAGAGCAGCAGCAGCAGCAACAACAACTCACAATAAGCACTCAGATAAACGAAGCCGTTTGGGAAACACACCCGAGGAAAGAAGGAGTCGAACAGGACAGGGCTGTTTATGAAACGCCCAGGGCCGTTGAGGAAACGCCAGTTAGGGGGGTCGGGGTGGTTTTCCTTCCCGTGATCTCCACCCCCTGAAACTCTCATCTCTCTCTTTCTTTCTTTCTTTCTCTCTCTCTCTCTCTCTTTCCCTGATACTGTCCAGTGCGGGGGCCGCCTATCTCGCGCACAGTATCGCACACAAGGCTGCCGCAATTGACTTTCAATGCGTTTATTCCGTCGGAACGCGTCGGTGCTTCAGGAATGCTGCTCCCGCTGGCCGCATCTCAGGATCGGCGCTCGACCTGCGCCGTTCAGAATGGCGGTCTCGCCCCAGCGCGGGTCAGATTTCTGGATCCGATTCACTCCTTGTCTTTGCCGTCCGCCTGTCTCTCCTCAGATCCGACACTGCAAAAAAAAAAAAAACGCAGCATCTCGAAAAATCACGGTCGGAGCCCCAGACCCAATCCGCCTGCGCCACTCTTCGAGCCGCATCGACCTGTGAGGGCACCAGGGCCCGAAGCCCAGCGAAGACACGCCGGGCGCAGAAGAGCTGCAACGCCTGGATCCGAGGGCCCTCCCCGCGCGGGCTGCGGGGAGAGGCCGCCTGGCCGCCCGGCGAGAAGGGCTCGCGCCCCGCCGTGAGGTCCGCGAGCATCTGCAGGTCGTCCTGGGCGCTGCCTACCTGGCGGGCGGAGGGGCAGCACATCCTCGATCCTCCTCATCCACCTCCTCCTCCTCCCTCTCCTCCTCCTCCTCCTCCCCCCCCCTCCCTCCCTCCCTCCCACCCTCCCACCCTCCCTCCCTCCCTCCCTCCCTCCCTCCTCCTCCTCCTCCTCCTCCTCCTCCTCCTCCTCCACTCATTTTCCTTATAAATAACTCCTCCCTGTCGCACCCCGAGGCCAGTCGGAAGGGCGGGCCGGGCGTTTCGCCAGAGGCTTCCTCACCATTTCTGGCCTGGAAGCTTTAAAACTTACAACAGGAAGCGCCTCTGCGGGATGTCAGCGATGAGCGTGAACTGGTCTTCCATGACCTCTGCGGCGTGCAGCCACTGTGCACTGGCTGCGTTGACTTCTCCTGAGGCAGCAGGGGCTTCGCACGAGAAGGCGAAGAGTGCAGGATCCGCGGACCAGATCCAGTCCGCAACTCGGGCTGGATTGATTGGCTCGGCGGCCTGCGCCTCAGCTGCCGCTGGTGTGGACTGCAGCTCCTCGAGTGCAGCCTGCGACCCCGCCTGCTCCTCCTCCAGCTCCGCGCTCTTGGCCTCCACCGGGGCCAGCTCGGCTGCTCGTTGGTCGAGCCTAGCGGCGTGGGCGGCGACCTTTTCGTCGAATCTGGGTGCTGAGCTCTGTCCGCACGGAGTCCATCGTGGAGGCGAACTCGTCGACCATGTACTGTCCCATCTTGGCAGAAAACGCGGCTATATGCCGCTCGACCACGTCACCAAATGCGCCGGCCGCAGCGGAACCAGCAGCGGTGGCAGAGCAGGGGGCGCAGCATCCTGTAATCCTCGAGCATTAGGTAGTCCTCAAGAAGGAGCGGCATGAGGAGGAGGAGGAGGAGGAGGAGGAGGAGGAGGAGGAGGGCGACGACGACGACGAGGTAGCAGCAGAAGGAAGGGAGAAAATGAGGAGGAGAACGAGGAAGGGGGAGGAGGAAGGGACAGGAGAGTGGGGACGAGCAGGAGGGTAATGAGGAAAGGGAAGGGGCGAGGTAGGAGGTGGTGGGGGAGGGAGCAGCAGCAGGCGCAGGAGCAGGAGGAAGGAGGCGCAGCACCAGGAGGTTGAGGTGCAGTGCCCATCAAGGGAGAGAGGTGCGGGAGGTCCAAAAGGAGAGTGGGGCGAGAAAGGAACATCAGGAGGAGAGGCAGGAGGAGAAGGAGCAGCAGCAGGAGCAGGACAAATGAGCAGGAGGGAGGAGGGAACAACAAGAGGAGAGATGGAAGAGGCAACAGACAGGCGGAGCGTGGAGCCGCTCCCGGGGCGCGGCGGTGCGGCTGCAGACGGCAGGCCCCCGCCCTCGGACAGCGCCAGTGGGGGCGGAGGCAGAGCGTGCCGCCCCGCTGTGGGCCTCGACCCCGAGGTAGCTCAGCTCGTCCATCAGGTGCGTCAGGCGGCGCGTGGCCGTCGACGTGTCCTTCTCCACCTGGCAGCACCCGCAGCGATGACGGGGGGCGGCTGGGGAGGGCGGGGTGGAGCTGGAGGGGGCGAAGAGGAGCGAGGAGGAGCGAGGAGGAGCCCGGAGGAGGCAGGGGATCTGCTTCACCGCAGCAGCCAAGCGAGTGCGAACGCACTGTACCCGCGAGCCCCGACTCCGACTCACCGCAGCGGCGCGCTGCTGCCCCGCAGCGCACAGCGGAGAAGCGCCAGGCCAGCAACGAGCGCTGCACGAGGAGGAGGCGGCGGAGGAGGACGACGAGGACGACAACGGCAAGGACGGCCGCGACAGCCGCGGCAGCGACCACGACGAGGGCGAAGGAAGGGCAAGAAGACGGCGAGGCTGGGGGGGGGGGGGGGGGCAGGACGGAGAAGAGGGCGAGGGGGAGGGCCGAGAGGAGGAAGAGGGAAGAGGCGGCGGGGAGGCGGCGGAGGGGAGGCGGCACGGCGGGAGGCGCCCGAAGCAGGAGCAGGAAGGGGCGGCGGCATGAGGGCCCGCGCCAGCCGGCGGGGGGCAGGCGCGGGGCCCCCCGGCCCGGCAGCCCGCGCCGGGGGAGGCCCCCCGAGGCGGGCCGCCCTCTCGCGCCGCGGGAGCGCGATCCGCGCGCCTCCCGGGCCGCGCGCGAACGCACGCGCCCGCCGTGGGGCCCCTCCCCGGAGGTCCTATGGCGTCGCGATGTGTTCGCGCAGGGCGCCTGTCGCCTGCAGGAGAGCGCCGAGCAGCACGACCCACCCGCACAGGAAGGACGGGCGGCTTTCCCGAGGGTGCCCCCTTGCAGCCCTTGCCTCCTCGGCCCGTCCTTGGCCGCTGTCGTGGGCCGCGCCCCGCTCGGGAAGCTTCGAGGTGGCCTTCCAAGACCCTTGCATCCTTGTCGCGCATCCTTACGATACGGGTTGACTGTACACCACCACCACCAGCCCCAGTGGTGGTGCATTGTTGGCGTCCCTCCGAGCCCGGCCTCGGGCCCCAGGACCATCCGAGATCGATCCAGCGCCCGAAGCGCGCCGCAGCACAATGGGGTCCGGGGTACTGGTCGTGATGTTTCGCGATGATGTTTCCTTCCTCAAAACGACCAACGCGCCGATGATGAAAACATCCGGGCTCCGCACTGAAGGAATGAGGACTCCACCATGCTGCACACCAGCCACGAAGGAGAAGGAATAAAAACGAAGGAAACGACGGACGGAAGGAGAATGAAGCGAAATGCCTCGTGCGGCCGAGCGGCGGCTGCTGGCACTAGACACGAGCTGTACAAGCACGACCAGACCGTAATGTCTCACGATGTTGTATTTTTCGCGTCGTCGAATCTTGGGGTATTCATTGGGCCAGAAGCGGCGGATAGCCGAAACCGACCGCCCCCTTCTTGGGGGGGGGGCAAATCGCAGGCCGCCGCACGGGGTACGGTAGGTTCGTGCGGCGCCGGCGCGCGCAAAGAGGAGGAGGAGGAGGAGGACGAGGAGGAGGTGGAGGAGGAGGAGGACCGCGTCGATCATTCAACCCTGAGCCGATCGCGGCCCCGATCATTCAAGGCTGAATTCCGTCGGGCCGTGTGGCGCCACTGTGCCCCTCAGGGTTACCGCGTCGTTCCATCGCGCGGAATCCAACCCTGAACGCTTTTTCTGGCATCGCCAGCGCGGCAACGCCGCATGAACTTACCGTACCCAGACTTCGGCGGCAACTCATGAGAGCCTCCCACACCATTTTGTCGGCTCCTGTGAATCGGCGCTCGTCGACGCTAAATCGACGTTCATCGAAGCTAAATCGACGCTAGTCGACGCTAACTGGCGTTACATCGGCGCTATCTCATCGACTCCAAGACACGAATCGACGCGAATCGACGCTAAAGGCGAAATTACGAGGGTGCACATGGCTCCCATGATTTACTACCGAACCAGGCCCAGCTCGCGCCACGCCAGAGCCACGCCGGAAAGAGTTTGGAGGCGCCCTCCGCCGCCCTGGGCCCCCACCGGGCCACGGGAGGCGGTCCAGACACGCCTCGGGGCGAAGAGGAGGCCCAGGGGAAGGAGGGCTAGACTCGGCTACGTTAGAAGAGGAAAAAAGGGCAGAAAAAATAAACTTTTGGCGCTCCGCGCGGACTTCTTGGATCCGCGATGGGCCCCCGCAGCTGCACCGCCGGCGCGGCCCCTGGCGCGCTCCGCGCGCCAGGGAGGGGGACCCAGCGCGGACCCAAGAGACCCGCGCGGAGCGCCAAAAGTTTATCCTTATGCTGTTTGATACACGCAGGAGCGACCCTTGGCAAGAGTGGCCTCTGGCTTGTGCGCCCGCATTCGGCCGCGGGGCGGCCGAGTGCGGGCGCGCAAGCCGTTGCTGCTACCGCGTCGCGCTCAGCGATGGGGAGGCTCCACCTGGGCCCGCACCCAAAGGTCACGCCAGCGAAAAGTCACTTTGAAAACGTCGACGGGGAGAGCATGATGCGCGTGGAATGGCATCAGCGAGAACATAATGAACTGATTGGCCGGTGTGAAGCGGGTACGGTGCCCACCTCGGGGGCCGCTATGATGCGGATCCGGCCCCGAGCCGCGTGGAAGAAGATCACGAGTGCGAGGGCCCACGACGGTCCTTCTGCCCAACGCGAGCCAGTCCGACGGTCTCGAGCTTGGCAGCACTGCCGTCAGTCAGGAGGAGAAAAGACACACAGACACAAGTAATCGTCCACTTCCAGGAAAATAGGGGAAAACATGGGAAGTGGGGGGGGGAAGACAAAAACCAAGGAAATGTGGGAAAATAGGGGGGATATGTTTATTTGTGTCTTTATTTGTGTGTCCTGTGGCCCCTTCAGTCAGTGAACAGCCCTCGGTGGCGGACGCCAGGTCCCGGGCCACGCGCCGGGAGTTCCCTCCCCACCGGCAGGCGGAACCGCTGGGCGCTCGCTCTGCGCGGCTCGGCTCGGCCTCCGCGGGCCCTCCTCGCCTTCGGCGGCGCCCGCGCGGCGGGGCCGAGGCCGCCCGCGCGGGGCCTTCCCGAGCGGCGGCGCGGCCCAGCGGAGCACCGCCGTGCCCGCGCGGGCCCGCCCGCGCGCGCTCGGTGGGGTCCCGTGCGGGCGCCACGGGGCGCGGCCCGGCCTTTCGGGATCCCAGACCTCAAGTCTCCGACGATGTGGTGTTTTCGACCGGCGCTTGTCCTCGGTTTCGGCCTCTTGGATTCTTCACTGGGGCCCAGGGCCGTCAAAAGCGGATCCAGGACGAAGCACCTCCCCCCGGGGAGGGGTCGGAACCTTTCTGGGGCCGCGGACTTCAATAAAAATCAGAAGGGATGTCAAATACCTCTATCATGGAGGCGCCCAGGTGCCCCAGAGCTCTCCATGCAGAGGCCCCTGGGCTCTTCTACCCTGCGGGTGAGCGAAGCCCACCGCCAGCGTATAACCCGCCGAGGGTTCGCCCATCCAGCGCCCCACGGCAGGTCCTCTGCTGCACGGCACGGTGGCGCGAGGCGTCCCAAAACCGCGCGGTGGCCTCGGAATACCCAACCACCTCGCTGCGCGGTGGCCTCGGAAGACCCTGGAGGCCACAGTCGCCCGAGACGTCCTCGGAGAACGACCCGAATCCCAAAACCGCGCGGCAACCCCAGATCCCCACTGACTCACCACGCGGCGTGGTCACCGCACCGCTTGGGGGCCCCCGGGCCACGCCGTGCGCTGACTGAGCCCCTCGGCTCTCTGGAAGCCCCTGGAGGCCCAAGCACTGCCCCCTTTCGTCGCGGACCCCGCCTTCCTCGGGAGCTGGGGGAGCCAGCCAGAGGCGGGCGCGCGTGCTGCCCGGGGCCCGGCGGGCCGCCTCGCGGCTGAGCTGGCGGCTGGTGGGCCGCTCGGAGCTGACTCCGGCTGCTGCTCCTGCGCTGGCCTCGGCAGGTTCCCTGGAGCGGGGGGCGCGGCGCGGGCGCGTGGAAGGGCGGCAGGCGGGGGACCGAAGGCGGACGTCCCGGCGCCTGGGCGACCCGGCCCAAACGGCGCCCGGCCTGGGCGCGGGGGAGCCATGGACGAGGAGCGCGGCGGCCGCCGCCGGCTCCCGGACCGCCGAGCTCCCGGGGGCGGCCACGGTGGGGAGGCCGTGCTGACAGCAAGACACGGCGCACGCCCACACGCACCACACGCACCGTGTGTGTGTGTGGAAGCACACGGTATTCGCGGAACGCCATCAGATCTATGACTCGTGAGCGCGCCCGCATGGCAGCACTGCTTGATTCCCATCCTCATCCCTTCATTCCCCCATGAGACCCGCCAGCCCAGCGGCGCCTGCCGGCGCGTGTGGTGCAGACCGTCCACCCGCGAGCGCACCTCACGATGGGGGGGCGAGCATCTCGCTTTCTCTCTCTCTCTCTCTCTTTCTCTCTCTTTCTGTCCATCTCTCTCCTCCTCGTCCCAGCCCTTTTTTCTCCTCATACTCCTACTACTTCTCCTGCCACGATCCTCCAGTCCAATTGTATGTTCCTATGTCTCCAACCCTTCCCTTCAAATATCTACATATGTATATGTAAATGTACACCTACGTTTGTTTGTCTGTATGTACGTACGTACGTACGTACGTATGTATGTATGTATGTATGTATGTATGTATGTATGGCTATGTGTGTATGTGCATCTATGTATATTTACATATAAACTAGAACCATCGCGCGCTTCGCGCGCGCTCAAGTTCTAGCTAGCTTGGGCGCCAGGCCAGACATGAAAAGGTCTCGCTGGCGTCTTGTGGTCATCTTGGTGCCTCCATCTATCCTCGATGGCCTCTCCTCTCAAAGGTACGCCGAATAGCGAAATCATCAAAAAATTGAAGATCCCAGAGTTCGAGGGGCTACGCTATTTCCGACGTCATTTCCGACGTTTTTCGGTACACGGGGATATTTCCGACGTCATTTCCGATGTTTTTTGGTACCCGAGGACAGGGGGGTATAGAAAACTCCACTTCCAGAGCCCCGACCGCCCAAGACAGCCCAAGAGGAAGCCAAAAGAGGCCCCAGAGGCCCCCTAGACAATGCAAGAGGGCCCCGAATCGCCGAAACACCGCTCGAACCGCCCAAGATGCCCCGAAGACAGTTCCAGAAACCTCCAAGACGTCCCCAAATCTCACCCCCCCGGATCGGCGGCACTGGCCGGAGGCCAGCCCAATACGAGTATGCGATAATGCCAGGCGATGTGCGGGAACGGCGAGCGAGACTGTGGGGCGATATGCGGGAAAAGATATAAGTGTTGCGCCTTCTTTTCTCCTGTGCGACACCTGCAAGACGGCCCAGCAAGCTGACACGCCCGTCCGCGAGTAGCACCTAACACGCCCAGGCGCGAATCACAAACCGAAAGACACGCTGAAGAATTTCCGCTGCCGAGAACTCATAGAAGAAGCAAGGGGTGAGAGAGGACGGGTGAGTGAGGATCAGCAGCGACAATACCATGCGGACAAAATACTGAAGTGCCCGATAGCGGCGCTCACCTGCAAACAGGCCTAGCAAGCTGACACGCCTGTGCGCAAGTAGCATACCGAACGGCCCGCTGAAGAATCTCCGCGGCCGGGAAGCAAAGCAAGAGGCAAGGGACATATAAGGGATGTCCTAAAGATAACCGAATGAGCTGTCCGCATGCGGAACTCACCTGCAAGACGGCCCAGCAAGCTGACACGCCCGTCGGCGAGTACCATGCCGAACGGCCCGCTGCACAACTTCCGAAATTGCACGATCCGCAGCCCAGCCTGTCAACCAAACACGCCCAGACACGAGTGGCAAACCGACAGACGTCCTGAAGAATCTCCGCTGCCGAAAATCAAAAATAGCCTGGCACAAGGACCCAACCATGTAGTTGTGAGTACCGCAATTATGGGTATCGTACTCGGTGGAGCTCCCTATGGGGCCACGAAACGCGGCACTCGGTGGGGGAGACGCATGCGAAGTTTGCCACCGTGGCCTTCGGTGGAGCTCCCTATGGGCCACGAAACGCTGCACTGGGTGGGGGAGACGCATGCGGACTTTGCCACTGGGGCCTTCGGTGGAGTTCCCTATGGGCCATGAAACGTTGTGCTGGGTGGGGGAGACGCATGCAGACGGTCCCAGTGGGACCTGCGGTGGATCTCCCCATGGACCACGAAACGTTGTGCTGGGTGGGGGAGACGCATGCGGATTTTGCCACTCGGGCCTTCGGTGAGGCTCCCTACGGGCCACGAAACGTTGTGCTGGGTGGGAGGGGGAGATGCATGCGGACGTTGCCATTGGGGCCTTCGGTGGAGCCCCCTATGGGCCACAAAATGTTGTGCTGGGTGGGAGAAACGCATGTGGGCTTTGCCATTGGGGCCGTCGGTGGAGCTCCTCATGGGGCCACGAATCGGTGGTGCTCCCTACATCGCCGTGACGAAAGTTTCTTTCAAATTGCCTTTTGGAATGACGCTCTCGTGCGGAGTAGTTCGGAGTAGTTTTACTAAAACTACTCCGCGCGCAATCGCATCCCGCTCGATACTTTGTACGGTTTGGCGCGGAGTAGTTTCCGATCCCGTTTTGGGGTAACAGGGTTATTAACGTCTCCGGGATCGGAAACTACTCCGCCGAATGACCCCAGCATCATGTCATGTTAGGAACCTTGAAAGGGATGGGAGTGATCTTCATCATAGCAAACTGAAGAAACTTTTGTCACGGCTGTGTATGGGGCCACGAAACACTGTACTGGGTGTGCGGGGCGCATGCGGGCGGTCCCATTGGGACCTTCGGTGGAGCTCCCTATGGGGCCACGAAACGCTGTACTGGGTGTGCGAGACGCATGCGGGCCGTCCCACTGGGACCTTCGGTGGGGCTCCCTATGGGGACACGAAACGCTGTACTGGGTGGACGGGACGCGTGCGGGCGGTCCCACTGGAGCCGTCGGTGGAGCTCCCTATGGGGACACGAAACGCGGCACTGGGTGGTGCGTGACGCATGCGGGCGGTCCCACTGGGGCCGTCGGTGGGGCTCCTTATGGGGCAACGAAACGCTATGCTGTGTGGTGCGTGACGCATGCGGGAGGTGGCACTGGGGCTTTCGGTTGGGCTCCCTCATGGGGCCACGAAACGCTGTGCTGGGTGGTGCGGGACGCATGGTGACGGTCCCACTGGGACCTTCGGTGGAGCTACCTATAGGGCCACGAAACGCTATACTGGGTGGTGCGTGACGCATGCGGGCGGTGGCACTGGGGCCGTCGGTGGAGCCCCCTTACGGGGCCACGAAACGCTGTACTGGGCGGTGCGTGACGCATGCGGGCGGTGGCACTGGGGCCGTCGGTGAAGCTCCCTCATGGGGCCACGAAACGCTGTGCTGGGTGGTGCGGGACGCATGCGGGCGGCCTACTGGGACCTTCGGTGGAGCTCCCTATGGGGCCACGAAACACTGTACTGGGTGGTACGTGGCGCATGCGGGCCGTCCCACTGGGACCTTCGGTGGAGCTCCCTATGGGCCCACGAAAAGCTGTACTGGGTGGTGCGTGACGCATGCTGACGGTGTCATTGGGGCCTTCGGTGGACTTCCCTATGGGCCCACGAAACGCTGGACTGGGTGGTGCGTGACGCATGCGGGCGGTCCCACTGGGACCTTCGGTGGAGCTCCCTATGGGGCCACGAAGCGCTGTACTGGGTGGTGCGTGACGCACGTGGGCGGGCCCATTGGGGCCTTCGGTGGAGCTCCGTATGGGGCCACGAAACATGTGAGGGGCGTGCTGAAACGGGTGATGATGATGATGATGATGATGATGATGATGATGATGATGATGATGATGATGATGATGATGATGATGATGATGATGATGATGATGATGATGATGGAGGAGGGAGGAGGGGGAGGAGGGAGGAGGAAGGAGGAGGAGACGAGGGGCGCTGTCTCTTCAAAACGAGGACCTAACACCACAGGATAGTTGGGAACAAGAGGCAAGGGACACATGAGAGAGGACGACGGATGAGAGGATCAAGAGCGACCCGATGCTGAGAACATGCAGAGCTGTCCGTCCGCTAGCGGAGCTCACCTGCAAGACGGCCCAGCAAGCTGACACGGCCGTGCGCGAGTAGCATACCGACCGGCCCACTGAATTGGCCCGGCGAAGGACCCAACCATAGTTGCGAGCACCGTCGTGGTATGCACCGCATTCGGAGGAGCTCCCTATAGGGCCACGAAACGTGTGAGGGGTGTGCCAAAATTTGTCCGGCGGGCGCTTGCGAAACCAGCCACTGGGGCCGAAGGTGGAATTCCCTGCGGGGCCACGAAACGCGCGATAGGTGTGCTGGAATAGGTGCGGTGGGCGCATGCGAACGCAGCCATTTGGGCCTTCGGTGGAGCTCATGGTGCCGCGAAACATGTGATGGGTGTGCAGAAAAATTGGGGCGCTGGGCGCATGCGAACGCAGCCAATGGCTCCTTCGGAGGAGCTCCCTGTGGGGCCACGAAACGTGTGAGGGGTGTGCCAGAATGAGCGTAGGTGGCGCATGCGGGCGGTGGCACTGTGGCCTTCGGTGAAGCCTATGGGGCCACGAAAACGTGTTGAGGAGTGTGCAGAAATGGGCGTGCGTGACGCCTTCGGGCGGTCCCACTGGGACCTTCGGTGGAGCTCCCTCTAGGGCCACGAAACGTGTGAGGGGTGTGCCGAAATGGGTGTGCGTGACGCATGCGGGCGGCGGCACTGGGGCCTTCGGTGGAGCTCCCTGTGGGGCCACGAAACGTGTGAGGGGTGTGCCGAAATGGGTGTGCGTGACGCACGCGGACGGTGGCACTGGGGCCTTCGGTGGAGCTCCCTATGGGGCCACGACACGTGTGAGGGGCGTGCCGACATGGGTGTGCGTGACGCATGCGGGGGGTGGCACTGGGGCCGTCGGTGGAGCTCCCTTTGGGGCCACGAAGCGTGTGAGGGGTGTGCCGACACGGGTGTGCGTGACGCATGGGTGGAGCTCCTTGTGGGGCCACGAAACGTGTGAGGGGTGTGCCGACATGGGTGTGCGTGGCGCATGCGGGCGGTGGCCCTGGGGCCTTCGGGTGGAGCTCCCTGTGGAGGCACGAAACGTGTGAGGGGTGTGCCGAAATGGGTGTGCGTGACACATGCGGGCGGCGGCACTGGGGCCTTCGGTGGAGCTCCCTGTGGGGCCACGAAACGTGTGAGGGGTGTGCCGAAATGGGTGTGCGTGACGCATGCGGACGCAGCCACTGGGGCCTTCGGTGGAGCTCCCTGTGGGGCCACGAAACGTGTGAGGGGTGTGCCGAAATGGGTGTGCGTGGCGCATGCGGGCGGCGGCACTGGGGCCTTCGGTGGAGCTCCCTATGGGGCCACGAAACGCTGTACTGGATGGGTGAAACGCAAGGAGGAGGGAGGAGGGGGAGGGGGAGGACGAAGGAGGCGGGAGGAGGAGAACGCGGGGCGCAGTCTCTTCAAAACGAAAACCCAACACCACAGGATGGTTGGGAAAAAATCCCCACTCCTAAACAATCAGCAACCAAAACACGCCCAGGCTCGATTGGCAAACCGACTGATATTCTGAAAAATCTCATCTGCTGAGAATCAAGGGAAGAGGCCAGGAACATGTAAGGGTGAGGACGGATGAAGCAGGATCAGGAGCGACGTGTTCCTGAATGAATGGGGTGTATGGATGCCGGTTGGGGGGGCCTCCTGGACGCATGCCCGAGGGGCCTTCGTGGGGGTCTCCTGGGGCCGTTTTGGCTCCTCGACTGTTTGGGGGATATGTTGGGGCCCATCTCGGTAGATCTTGGCCAATCGCGACACTGGAACCGCCTTACGCCTATCTTTTGCCATCTGCGGGCACTCTTGGGCTGTCTTGAACGCGAAGGTACTCCCCTAGGCGCCTTGAGGCCCGACATGAGCCGTGTTGGGATCTTCTTGAGTCGGCTTTGGTCCCCCTTCTGCTGGGGCTCTGCTGGCCCTTTTTTGGGTGTCTGGAGCCAGGGTCGGCGCGATCAAAACTTATAAGGCACAACATCGGAAATCGTTTAACAACATTGAGAATGAACAAAACTTTCCTATCGGGGGCATGTGGAGCGCACGCCTGAGGGCCTCACGGGGCTTGTGGGGAGCCTCCTCGACGTCATGGAGGCCACTTTGGGCCATCTGACTGGAAGCCTCCCCAACGGTTCCGGAAGCGCTACCCCGAGCCCCAGGACAATCCGTGAGAGCGCCAGCGGGGAACACGAACCCACGATTCGATCCCCTGCGCCCCAGAATGGCCTCCGAAACCGCCAGCGGGCCCCAAAGAGGCACCCCACAAGCTCTGGAAGGCCTCCAGAAGGCACAAATCCGGCTCTGAGGAGCTCCCAAATAGAGCCTGGGCCAAGTGAGCCAGAGGCTGGGCCTAAGTAGAGAGTTTTGCGGGGTATCTTGAGGAATCTCTGCGGTTCCCTTGCTGGGGGCCCTCTTGGGGCCCACTGGCGGTCTAAGGGGCTCTCTTACGTGATCTTGGAGCCCCCTTGGGGCCTTCTTGTGGCCGTCTTGGACACCTCTTGGGCCGTCGTGGACGCCTCTTGGGCCGTCTTGGGACTCTCGTCTGGGCCTCTTCTTGGGCCCCCTTGGGGCGGTTTTGGGGGCCGCTTGGGCCTTCGAAGACGCTGCGAAAACACGAAAGTCGTAGATGCTGACAATGCACAGATTCCTCTGGGCATGAACCGATTTGGGCTTCTTGGGGCCCTCTGCGGGGGCCTCATGGAGCCCTCTTTGGCGTCTTGGGGGGCTCCTGGCTCTTCTTGAAGCCATCTTGGCGCGTCCTGGAGCGCTCGCGGGGCGTCTGGGGCG